ACTTTTTAATGATTGCCATTTTAACTGGCGTGAGATGGTATCTCACTGTGGTTTTGATGTGCATTTCTCTAATAACCAGTGATGATGAACTTTCTTTCATGTATTTGTTGGCTGCATAAATGTCTTCTTTTGAGAAGCGTCTGTTCATATCCTTTGCCCACTTTTTGATTTTTTTTTTTCTTGTAAATTTGTTTGAGTTCTTTGTAGATTCTGGATATTAGTCCTTTGTCTGATGAATAGATTGCAAAAATTTTCTCCCATTCTCTAGGTTGCCTGTTCATTCATTACAACATTACAACATGAATGTTTTTAAGGTTCATTCATGTTGTAGTATGTAACAGTATGTAACAGTATTTCATTCCTCTATATAACTGAATAACATTCCATTGTTTGGATATATTACATTTTGTTTATCTTTTCGTCTGTTGATGGATATTTGTGTTGGTTCTACCTTTTGGTTATTGTGAATAGTGCTATGTACATTTGTGTGCAAGAATTTATTTGAACATCTGTTTTCAATTATTCTGGGTATGTAACTGGGAGTGAAATAGCTGAACCATATGGTAACTGTAGCTTTTTGAGAAACTTCCAAACTATTTTCCACAGTTTTCCACAGTAGGTGTATCATTTTACTTTCCCAACATCAATGGATGAGGGTTCCAATTTCTCCATATTCTCATCAACACTTGTTATTTTCCAATCTAGTTGGTGTGAAGTAGTATCACACTATAACTTTGATTTGCATTTCCTTAATGCTTAGTGATGTTGATCATCTTTTCATGTGCTTGTTGGCCATTTGTATATCTTTGGAAAAATGTCTCTTCAAATCCTTTGCCCATACTTTAAGTGGCTTGTCTTTCTTTTGTTGAGTTTTCTAAAGTTCTTTATGTATTCTGGCTGGGTGCCATGGCTCATGCCTGTAATCCCAGCACTTTGGGAGGTCAAGGTGGGTGGATCACTTGAGGTCAGGAGTTCAAGACCAGCCTGGCCAACATGATGAAACCCTGTCTCTACCAAAAATACAAAAATTAGCCAGGTATGATGGTGTGAGCCTGTAATCCCAGCTATGCAGGAGGCTAAGGCAGGAGAATCACTTGATTCCAGGAAGCAGAGGTTACAGTGAGCTGAGATGGTGCCACTGCACTCCAGCCTAGGCAACAGAGCAAGACTCCATCTCAAAGCAAACAAACAAACAAATAAACTTCTTTTCTTCTCTCTCTCTCTCTTTTTTTTTTTTTTTTTTTTCTGTGAGAAGGAGTCTCACTGTGTCGCCCAGGCTGGAGTGTAGTGGCGCCATTTCGGCTCACTGCAACCTCCACCTCCCGGGTTCAAGCGATTCTCCTGCCTCAGCTTCATGAGTAGCTGGGATTACAGGCTCCCGCCACCATGTCTGGCTAATTTTTTTTTTTTTCATATTTGTAGTAGAGAAGGGCTTTCACCATCTTGGGCAGGCTGGTCTTGAACTCCTGACCTTGTGATCCGCCTGCCTCGGCCTCCCAAAGTGCTGGGATTACAGGCGTGAGCCACCGCACTCAGCCGAAAGAAAAGTGTTCTTTATGAATTCTGATACTAGACCCTTATCAGATATATGATTTGCAAATATTTTCTTTTATTCTACAGGTTGCCTTTTCAGTTTCTCGATAGTGCCCATTGATGCATAAAAGTTTTTAATTTTGATGATGTTCAATTTATTTGATTTTTCTTTTATTGTTTGTGCTTTGGTGTTATATGTAAAAATCCAATCCCAAATGCAAGGTCATGAAAATATACCCCTATATTTTCTCCTATGAGTTACTGTTTTAGTTCTTACATTTTAGTCTTTAAGTTAATATTTGTATATGGTAAGAAGTAAGATACACTACATTCTTTTGTATGGGGATATCCAGTTGCCCCAGGCTATTTGGTGAAGAAACTGTACACAACTGATCGAATAATCTTGGCAGTTATATCACCAGTGTTGGGTCATATTAAATTAGTGATTGAATGAAATCCCCTTTTGTTGTTGTTCTTCACAAATTCTGGGTTTCCCATATTTTGTAATACCATACTTGACTCAACGTTTCCAAGTACAGAACTTGACACTTATCTTGGATGCATTTCACCCTGTGGATTTTTATTCAATTATTCATTGAATAAAGATTTATTGAAGTTCTACTATATATCAGGCACTGAATTTATCAAAGCAGTTCAAGATTGACAAGATTGTTTAAATGGTTGCAACAAAGTATAAAATTTTTCTTTCTCCCTGTTTTATTTTCAAGAGACATATATAACACACATTCATGACTCTCATTCCATCACTGAGATTTACCTCATAGGATCAGAAATGGGAGGAAGTAAAGAATGGTAAGGGTTGGGGTGAAACTTGGTAACGGAATTAAGTTCAGGGATGTGAAAGGGAAAGTGGGATGAAATAAGGGTGTCTATTACATATGCCACTCATTCATTTGTTCATCTATCATATCTTTGTTGAATGCCTACTATGTCTCAGGCACTATTCTAGACACTGGGGGGCATATTAGTGAATAAGAAAAATAAATCCCTGTCCTTGTGTTACCTTCATTCAAGTTGGGGAGACAGATATAAACACATAAACAAATATCTAAGGTCAGACAGTGTTAAATAAAAGCAAGGTAAAAGACAGTGAGTGATTAGGGGCTGCTGTTTTAATGAAGGAAGGCTTTTCAAAGAAAGTAACATTTGAGCAGAGACATAAAGGAGATAACAGAGAAAGACATAGGACAATCTAGAAGAAATGGTTTAAGCAGAGGGAATAACTAATGAAAGGGGCCTGAGACGAGAGCATGTCTGCTACATTTCAGGAACAGTGAGGGGACCAGTGTGGCAAAAGCACAGACAGAAAAGGGAAGAGTAGCAAGAGATGAGGTCAGAGAGGTAGCAGAAGCCCAGAGTGCATAAGGCCTTGGAGGTCATGGTCAGGTTTTGACTTTTATTGTGCATGAGATAGAAAGCAATCAAAAGGTTACAAAGAGAGGAGTGACAATGTCTGATCCGTGTTTTTAAAGTATCACTTTAGGACAGGGGCAAGGAAAAAGACCACTAAGTCAGCTATTGCATTAATCCAGATGAGAGATTATGGTAGCTTGTATCACAGTAGTAATGGTAGAGGTGTTGAGATCATGTTTCAAGGCAGAATTTCCTCAGTATGCTGTTGGATAGGGTGTAGAGTGTTACAGAGACTTCCAAGAGATGACCTCAAGGTTTTGGGCCTTGCCAGATGAAAAGATGGAATTTTCATTATTTGAAATGGAGAAGAATTAAGGTTAAGTAGGTTTGGTGATAAAGGGTAGGGAACAAGACTTAAGTTTGGGACTTGTTAAGTTTGAGATGCCTAACAGATATTCAAGTAAAGATATCAAGTAGGTGGTTAGATATATGTTATAATTTCAGGGGCATGGTTTTAGCTAGGTATATACAACTTAAGAATAGTTGACATTTAGATGGCATGTGAAGTCATGGGACTGGAGGATAGTACCTAAAAAGTGAGCATACATAGAAATGAGCTCTAAAGATTGATCCTTTTATCACTCCAAAGTTTAGAGTTGGATGAGATAGGGAAGATTCAGTAAAGAAACCAGAGTCAGAGAGGTAGGAGGAAAACCAAGAGAGCACAGGAAGCTAGAAGTAACATAAAGAAACTGTTTCCAAGAAAACGAATGACTAGAACTATCTTTTGCTACATACAATTTTGAGTAAGATGAGGACTGAAATTTTACTACTGGATTTAATAACTTGGAGGTTATGGGCGAACTTGACAAGCACATTTCAGTGAAATGGTAAGGATAAAATCCTATAGTTAAAACTAACAAACAAAAAGATAGTTTTTTGGTTTACTTCATAGGTTCCACAAAAATTATAATTGCCTATTAGAGAAATCGTAACAGAGAAGGGACAGAATGAAGTGAGTTCTGACAGATAAATAGAAATTTGCTGGGAAAAGAAAAGAAGGGATACTCTAGGTAGAGGAAACAGCACAAGCAAAAGGCACAGAAGTCTTGCTTTGCACAAGACTGTGCTCGAGCCACAATGAGCAATTTGTCTTCGCTGAAAACATAGCATTCATGAGAGGTGAAGTCTTGGTAATAGTTGAATTATTGTTCATACAACTTCTGTTTACATTTCCAGCATGAGAGCAGGATTTCAGGTGAGATCTTTGGTCATTTGTATCATCACCAGGTGGTAGTGAAGGCATCACCACATATAACTTATTAAGGATACACTTGTGCTTGATTCTGTCCTCAAACTACATAAGTAAGCATTAATACCATGTCAGTTTTCCCCCAGTTAAGCTATAACTGTAATTTCAACATAAATATGAATAGTTTTACTCTTCCAAACATAAAAAGATACCATACATTCACAGATACAAAAACAGGGTGCTAATGAAACATGATTAAACAAACAGATTAAAGAAAATAAGAGATTTCAAAAATATGAGGGTTTGTATTTGATAAATGTGGTGGCATATAAAATTAGAAAAAATAAATTACTTAATGAATTAAATAATCTTTAATTTACAAATAAATTAGATTGCACTTGGCAAACCAGCTATTCATTTCAGAATAACAAAGTTAAATTCTTACCTAACACAATATGATCCACTCTCTACCCACACACAAAAAAATGAACAAAGGATATAAACAGGCAATTCATAGGAAAATATAAGTGACCTGAGTCTTAACTTCAATTAACTGTTCGCAAATGCTGGCCGTGTATGGTGGCTCACGCCTGTAACCCCAGCATATTGGGAGGCCAAGGAAAGCGGATCACTTGAGCTCAGGAGTTCAAGGCCAACTTGAACACAACAGTGAAACCCTGTCTCCACCAAAAATATAAAAAAATTAGCCTGGTGTGGGGGCATGCGCCTGTGGTCCCAGCTACTTGGGAGGCTGAGGCGTGAGGATTGACTAGAGATCATGCTACTGCACTCCAGCCTGGGTGACAGTGAGACTCCATCTCAAAAAAAACTACAGCCCTCGCTCCCGCCCCCGCCTGGAGTCCGACGTGGAAGTTGCTGGCTAAGTGGGCTTGCGAGGAAACCGCCTCGGAGCTGCAGCCGAAGGCCAAGGAATCACTGAAGATCGGCGAGGGAGGACAGGCGGTTCATCATGGGTGGCTTTTTCTCAAGTATATTTTCCAGTCTGTTTGGAACTCGGGAAATGAGGATTTTAATTTTGGGATTAGATGGAGCAGGAAAAACCACAATTTTGTACAGATTACAAGTTGGAGAAGTTGTTACTACTATACCTACCATTGGATTTAATGTAGAGACGGTGACATACAAAAACCTTAAATTCCAAGTCTGGGATTTAGGAGGACAGACAAGTATCAGGCCATACTGGAGATGTTACTATTCAAACACAGATGCAGTCATTTATGTAGTAGACAGTTGTGACCGAGACCGAATTGGCATTTCCAAATCGGAGTTAGTTGCCATGTTGGAGGAAGAAGAGCTGAGAAAAGCCATTTTAGTGGTGTTTGCAAATAAACAGGACATGGAACAGGCCATGACTTCCTCAGAGATGGCAAATTCACTTGGGTTACCTGCCTTGAAGGACCGAAAATGGCAAATATTCAAAACATCAGCAACCAAAGGCACTGGCCTTGATGAGGCAATGGAATGGTTAGTTGAAACATTAAAAAGCAGACAGTAATTCAGTCCGTTCTTCTCCCCTGAAACGAAGACTACATCACCCTTCGGAAACAGACAAGTGTACTTCACACTACTAGATGTTAAAACTATATGATTGTTGGCATATACTGACTGACTGCAATGTTTGTGGTAAATAGGGAAAAGAAATATTTGGTTGGAGGGATAATTCGATCGAATCACCTGAATGTTCTATGTAATGTAAAATATTCTTTTCTTGCTTTCTTGTGTTAAGGTATATATTCTATTTGTATGGAATTCTTATTCAAATACAGTTCTATTAAAGAATGTACTCCTATTGGATGAAAAAACCTATTTTTGAATAGTAGTTGCAGCTTGTTTGTATAAATACTAAAAAATATCTTAACAGATTTTTTCCCCCTTAAAATGAATTATCTTTCCAAAGATTAGACTCAGTAGAGTAGGTGAGGAACATAGTGTGTATAATATAATCTTTATTTGCTTATCTGACCACTTTTTATTAAGCTGTTTTGTTTAAAAGCTTTTGGTTCTAGGCATGAATATTATTTTGATGGTTAACTTCATTGACTTATCTGCAATTGTCATTTTATAGTACTTTACAGTTGTCAAAAAAAAATCTTATGTTGACTTAGCTGATCTGTACAGGAAGCTTGTGAAGTAGGTAGGACAGGTTATGATGTCTTCACTGTATGGACATGGACCCAGGTTGGCTTGCCCAAGGTCACCTGCTAGCTAGTAAGGTGGGAATAAGGCTCAAAGTAAAACTTTTGGTTCAGAAGCCTGACTTATAAACTATACTATATATTCCCAAAAATGTCAGTATTGACAACACAGTCTAACTCTTTAATAAAATTATGCTAATTAAAGCAGTTACATTCAAAATAATGTCTATAAACTTATTTGTCTATACTAGTAGAAGTGATCAGTGACATACTATAAATAATCCTAAATGGTTATATTTGATGGAATTCATAACACATTAAAGAGAAAATTTCACATTAAAAAAAAAAAAAAACTACAAAAAACAAAAAACTGCAAAAACTACAAAAAACAAAAAACAAATGCAAAGTAAAAAAGAATGAGATGTTTTTAGCCCCTTAGATTGTCAATTTTTTAAAAAGTTGATAATACTCTGTGTTGGCAAGAGTATGAAGAAAGTTTTATGCACATGCACAGTTGATGGGTATGGAAATTGGTATATTTTTTTTTTTTTTTTTTTTTTTTTTACTGGAGGGGCAGCGTTTTCATTTTTTTCTTTCCACCTTTTATTTTATGTGGAGCTAGAACTTGTGCAGGTTTCATACATGGGTTAATTGTATGTCATGAGGGTTTGGTGTAGAGATTATTTAATCACTCAGGTAATAAACATAGTACCCAATAAGCAGTTTTTCGATCTTCACCCTCTTCCCACCATCTACCCTCATGTAGGCCCTGGTGTCTATTCCCCTCTTTGTGTACATATGTACCCCAATGTTTAGCTGCCACTTATAAAAAAATATGCATTATTTGGTATTCTGTTCCTGCATTAATTACCTTTTTATAATGTCTGCCATCTCCATCCGTGTTGCTGCAAAGGACATGACCTTGTTCCTTTTTATGGCTATGTAGCATTCCATCACACATACATATCATGTTTTCTTTACTAAGTCCACTATAGATGGGCATCTATGTTGATTCCATGTATTTGCTATTGTGAATAGTGCTTCAGTGAAAATACGGGTGTGTGTGTGTCCTTATGGTAGAATAATTTATATTCCTTTGGGTATATACCCATTAATGGGATTGCTGAGTTGAAAGGTAGCTCTGTTTTAGGTTTTTTGAGAAATAGCCAAACTGCTTTCCACAGTGGCTGAACTAATTTACATTTCCACTAGCAGTGTATAAGCATTACCTTTTCACCACAATCTTGCTGGCAACAGTTATTTTTTGACTTTTTAATAAAGGTCATTCTGAGTCGTATGAGATGGCATCTGTTTGTGATTTTGATTTGTATTTCTCTAATGATTAGAAATCTTGAGCATTTTTTCATATGCTTGTTGGCTGCACATATGTCTTCTTTTGAGAAGAGTCTGTTCAGGTCCTCTGCCCATTTTTTAAACATGATTCTTTGTGTTTTGCTAGTTAATTTAAGTTCCTTACAGATTATAGATATTAGGCCTTTGTCAGATGCATAATTTGCAAATATATTCTCCCATTTTGTAGGTTGCCTGTTTACTTTGTTGATAGTTTATTTTGCTGTGCAGAAGCTCTTTAGTTTAATTAGGTCCCATTTGCCTGCTTTTGCTTTTTTTGGTACTGTTTTTGGAATCTTTGTCATGGAATTTTTTCCATGTGCTATGTACAGAATGGCATTTCCTAGGTTTTCTTTTAGGGTGTTTATAGTTTTAGGTTTTACATTCAAGTCTTAATCCAACTTGACTTAATTTTTGTGTATGGTGAAAGGAAGGGGTCCAATTTTAATTGCAGCACCATTTATTGAATAAGGAATCCTTTCCCTATTGCTTGTTTTAGTCCACTCTGTTGAAGATCAGATGGTTTTAAGTGTGCTGTTTTATTTCTGTGTTCTCCATTCTGTTCCATTAGTCTATGTGTCTGTTTTTTGAACGAGCACCATACTATTTTGGTTACTGTAGTCTTGTAATATACTTTGAAATTGGGTATTGTGATGCCTCTAGCTGTGTTCTTTTGCTTAGGATTGTTTTGGCTATTTGAGCTCTTTTCTAGTTTCATATGAATTTTCAAAGAGATTTTTCTAAGTATGTGAAAAATATTGTTGGTAGTTTGATAAGAATAGCATTGTATTTGTAAATTGGTTTGCAGTATGGCCACATTAACAATATTGATTCTTCCTATCCATGAGCATGGAATGCTTTTCCATTTGTTTGTCTTGTTGCTGATTTCTTTCAGCAGTGTTTTGTGATTTTCTTTGTACAAAATTTCTTTCACATCCCTGGTTAGCTGTCTTCCTAGGTTTCTTTGGCTATTAAGAATGGGACTGTATTTTTGATTTGGCTTTCAGCTTGGGGGTTTTTGGCATGTAGAAATGATGTTGTACACTGATTTTTGTATTCTAAAATCTTGCTGAAGTTGTTTATAAGATGTAGGGGCTTTTGGGCTGAGACTATGGGCTTTTCTAGGTGTAAAGTCATATTATCTGTGAAAAGAGATAGTTTGATTTCTTCTGTTCCTATGGATGCCTTTTTTTCTCTTTTTCTTGCCTTATTTCTCTGGTTAGCACTTCCAGTACTATTTTGAATGGAAATGGTGAGAATTGGCATCCTTGCCTTTTTCAGATTCTCAAGGAGAATGTTTTCAGCTTTTGCCCATTTAGTATGATGTTGGCTGTGGGTCTGTCACAGATGGCTCTTACTTTTTTGAGGTATCTTCCTTCAATGCCTAATTAGTTGAGGTTTTTAACATGAAGGGACATTGAATTTTATTGAAAGTCCTTTTTTTGCATCTATTGAGATGATCATGTGGTTTTGGTTTTTAGTTCCGTTTATGTGATGAATCACATATATTGATTTGTGTATGTTTAACCAATCTTGCATCCCTGAAATAAGGCCTACTTGATTGTGGTGGATGAGCTTTTTGATGTAGCTGCTGGATTCGGTTTGCTAGTACTTTGTTGAGGAGTTTTGCATCCATGTTCATTAGGGATATTAGCCTAAAGTTTTCTTTTTTTTGTTGTGCCTGTGCCATGTTTTGGTATCAGAATGATGCTGGCCTCATAAAATGAGTTAGGGAGGAGTCCTTCCTTCTCCATTTTTGAAATAGTTTCAGTAGGATTGGCACCAGCCCTTTACACATCTGGTAAAATTCAGCTGTGATTTCACCTGGCCCAGGGCTTTTTCTGGTTTGTACACTTTTTATTACTGATTAATTTCAAAGCTTTTTATTGGTCTGTTTAGGGTTTCAATTCCTTCCTGTTTCAATCTTAGGAGGTCATCCAGTTTGTGTGCATAGAGGTGCTCATAATAGTCTCTGAGGATTTATTTTTATTTTTTATTTTTTTTATTTCTGTGGGGTCAGTGGTAATGGCCACTTTGTCATTACTGGTGGTGTTTTTTCTTATCTTCTCTCTTTTATCTTGATTAGTCTATCTAGCAGTCTACCAATCTTATTCATTCCTTCAAAGAGCTAACTTTTAGTTTTGTTGATCTTTTGTATGGTTTTATCACATCTCAATTTCACTCATTTTAAAACCAAGTTTGGTTATTTCTTTTGGTATGGTAGCATTGGAATTGGTTTTCTCTTGTTTTTCTAGTTCTTCTGTGTGCGATGTTAGGTTGTTAATTTAAAATCTTTCTAACATTTTGATGTGGGCGTTTAGTGTTATAAACATTCCTCTTAACACTGCTGTATCCAAGAGATTCTGGTATGTTGTTTATTTGTTTTCACTAGTTTCAAAGAATTTCTTGATTTCTGCCTTAATTTGTTTACCTGAAAGTCATTCAGTAGCAGGTTGCTGAATTTCCACATAATTGCATGGTTTTGTGACACCTGCGTGGTACTGATTTTTATTTGTATTGCACTGTGGGAGTAAGGTGGTATTGCATTGTGGTTTTGATTTGCACTTCCCTGATCATTAGTGATGCCGAGCATTTTTTCATATGTTTGCTGGCCTTTGTATATCTTCTTTTGAGAATTTTCTATTCATGTCCTTAGTCCACTTTTTGATGGGATTGTTTTTTCTTTTTTTCTGCTAATTTGTTTGAGCCCCTTGTAGATTCTGGATATTAGTCTTGTCAGATGTATAAATTGTGAAGATTTTCTCCCACTCTGTGGGTTGTCTGTTTAATCTGCTGACTATTCTTTTTGCTTTTCAGAAGCTTTTTAGTGAAGTTCCACCTATTTATCCTTGTTTTTGTTGCATTTGCTTTTGGGTTCTTGGTCATGAAGTCTTTGTCCAAGCCAATATCTACAAGGGTTTATCCAATGTTATCCTCTAGAATTTTTATAGCTTCAGGTCTTATATTTAAGTTATTGATTCATCTTGACTTGATTTTTGTATAAGATGAGAGATGAGGATATAGTATCCTACATGTGGCTTGCCAATTATCTCAGCACCATTTGTTGAATAGGGTGTCCTTTCTCTACTTTGTTTTTGTTTGCTTTGTTGAATATCAGTTGACTGTTAAGTATTTGGGTTTATTTCTGGGTTTTGCATTCTGTCCCATTGGTCCAAGTGGCCATTTTTATACCAGTACCATGCTGTTTTGATGACTATGGCCTTATAGTATAGTTTGAAGTCAGGTAATGTGAAGCCTCCAGATTTGTTCTTTTGCTTAATTTTACTTTGTCTATGCAAATTTTTTTTTTTTGGTTCCATGTGAATTTTAGGATAGTTTTTTCTAGTTCTGTGAAGAACAGTGGTGGCATTTTTGGTGGGAATTGCATTGAATATGGTCATTTTCACAATATTAATTCTACCCATCCATGAGCATGAGATGTGTTTCCATTTGTCTGTGTCATCTACAATTTATTTCAATAGTGTTTTGTAGTTTTCTTGTAGAGGTCTTTCACCTCCTTGGTTGGGTATATTCCTAAGTATTTTTTTTGCAGGTATTTTAAAAGGGGTTGAGTTATTGATTTAATTCTCAGCTTGATCACTGTTGGTGTATAGCAGAGCTACTAATTTGTGTACATTAATTTAGTATCCTGAAACTTTTCTAAATTCATTTATCAGTTCTAGGAGCTATTTGAATGAATATTTAGGGGTTTTTTAGGTATACAATCATATCATTAGAAAACAGTGGATGCCTTTTATTTCTTTCTCTTGTCTGATTGCTCTGGCTAGGACTTCCAGTACTACGTTGTATAAAAGTGGTGAGAGTGGGCATCCTTGTCTTGTTCCAGTTCTCAGAGGGAATGTTTTCACC